CTTATTATTACACACATGATATACCATAATGACAACAGATATCAGTAACTTTCATTAAAAAATTTAATATAATATAGCATGTGTACTTTTTCAGATATTGGGTGCTGACACTGTACAGTAAATAACATATTAATAGTGTATAATATATTAAGGAATTGTTTAATATTAAGGAATTGTCCTAAGCAATTGTTTAATGTTGTCGGCCTATTTGACTTATTTTTAGCTGTCTAGTTTATGATATATTCTATTATAATTTAGAACATGTTAAATATTACACATAAATGTCTTTACGTTGTGTCACTTATAGATTGGAAATGCATATTAAATATTATAAATACTGATTGTTTAGGAAAATTACAATTTAAAACTGCAATGCATTCAATATTTGCAATTTATAGTTATAATTAGCGGATAAGAAATTATTATCAAATATGCAATAAGACTAACGTATAATTGAACTGAAAATTAATAAAAAGCGACGTTTTATACCATATACCGGCCGATTGGCCGAAGGCTGATCGGCTTGATCTGCAGTTTTCCCCTCAATGCACCGTTTAGTGGGGACTGCATTGACATACAGTATAGACTGAGCACATAAATGCTGTTTTATAATTAAAACTTTGAAAACTGTAAAAAAGTTTGTTTTATGTGTTTATTTGGTAAACAATTGGTTTTAATGTTTTATTGACAAAATAATGTTTTAATAAAGTAATTACTATTACAATTATGTTTTCAATCAACCAATTGAAATATAAACTTAAGTGTAAGCTATCAAACAGTGTTATCACCGAAATTAATCCACTCATGAGTGTCGACAACAATGGACAACAATTGCCGACCATTTATTGTCCAACAGACACCATAGACGTCAATGATGAGAACGTCATTAGGCCGGAATTGGTGGCCAACAATTCGCCGGCCAAAGCGCACAAACAAAAGACATCGAGGTATGGAATCAACTACTGGTTATTATCTATGAATGATTGACACTAACTGTCCATTTATGGCCATTTTGTAGCCGAGAGCCGGACCTGAAAGGGCTGACACCCATTGTCGACGTGGATATGTTCCGCGAGGCTCAGGCCCGGCGGGCCGAACTCATTCAGGAACAGTTGGTCACCGAACTGCGCCGAACCGGCGCTCAACAGGACAGTAATCGGCGATTCGGCAATTCTTTGCCGCAATTATTTAATAAAATTACAACAACGATAACAGCTATACAGTGTGATAATAATACCACGATTGATATGGCAGATCAACGAAAACAGCAAGGTTAGATCATTTGTCCCGTGATTATCACTGCTTTCCCTATCAGTGGTTAAACCCCTCCAAACCTTTGATGCAAATAAAACTCATTAACAGATCAATCGTTTGTATTATTATTTTTAACTCCAAGAAATAACTAATCATTGGATATAATTATGAGTTGAAAAACTTTTTCGTTATTGTTTTGCTGTTTTACTCACGAAACAGTTTTTAATTAATTTTAGTTTTAATTACATTTATTGCAACAAAAGTTTATGCATTTGTGTATAAATATAGTTATAATTTCTTTAAGTGTTTTTAATTTGCAATTTATTAATACAAACGATTTGATTAAGCGATTGATAGTAAATATGTTTTTTGTTGTAAATTAATGTTTGGTTTTAATTAGAAATCGAGAAATGCATCAAAAAGGTGGCCGAAGGGGTCGAGACGTTTGAAGACATCTGGCAGAAGGTCCACAACGCCAGCAATAGTAACCAAAAGAAGAAATATGAGGCCGACCTCAAGACGGAGATTAAGAAACTACAGGTTTGTCACCCATTAGTACTGTTGACATCGGTTTGCATTTATTGATCGCTCTGTTTGGCCGCAAACAGAGGCTCAGGGATCAGATCAAGACATGGGTGGCCTCGAGTGAAATTAAAGACAAACGACAGCTCTTAGAGAATAGGAAACTAATTGAGACTCAAATGGAAAGGTTTAAAGTGGTTGAGAGG